ATGATCACTGCAGATGGTGACAGCAGCCACGAAATTAAAAGACACGTGCTTCCTAGGAGGAAAGCATTGATAAACCCAGACAGTATCTTGAAAAGCAGAGACAACACCTTGCCAACAAAGGTCCGCATAGTCAAAGCTAAGGTTTTTCTAGTAGTGATGTATGGAAGTGAGAGCTGGACCATAAAGAAGGCTGACCACCGAAGAATTGATGCTTTTGAATTGTGGTGCTGGAGGAGACTCTTGAGAGTCCCCTGGACTGCAAGGAAAACAAACCTATCCACTTTGAAGGAAATCAACCCTGAGTGCTCACTGGAAGGACAGATGCTGAAGTGAGGTTTCAATACTTTGGCCATCTCATGAGAAGGGAAATCTCTCTGGAATAGACCCTGATGTTAGAAAAGCGTGAAGGCAAGAGGAGAAGGGGATGACAGAGTACAAGATGACTGGACTGTGTCACAGAAGGTACCAACAGGAGTTTGACCCAACTCCAGGAGGCAGTGGAAGACAGGAGGGCCTGGTGTGCTCTGGTCCATCAGGTCATGAAGAGTCGGACATCACTAAACAACAACAACAATGTAAATTACATCAATGGCTTCAACAAAATACACATCCAAAAGTTCAATAAGAAATACAAAATGAATCCTGTAAATTAATACAGACGTGTCAGCACGTCCATAGATGCTTAAGCATTGCCCTGCCTTTGTTTTGTCAGCTCACTGCAGTGCTGAAGGAGGCCTCTCCTGTGGTTTTGCCTGAGTCTGTGGACCAAACATTTGTGCAAGGTGGAGGGGGGCAGCTTTGAAAGGGTGGAGAGACTGAAAGTCCAACCACATTTACTAAGCATTATCACAGTTGTTAACCATGGATTTCCATGACCAGTTAAAACTCTTTTTATAAAAGCCACACAAGACATCACTCTTGCCCAAGAGCAAGCGAAGGAAATGCAAATTGTGCAAAAGGGCCTTGGGCAACTGTGAGATACTTCTGTGCTATGAGGAAATGGTAATTTCAGTGAGGATTCGCAAAGCCCCAACACAGATGTTCTCTCACATATTAGTTGCAGACTACTTAGCTAAGAACTCTGTATTGGAAGTATGTTTGAAAGGTAATCAAACACACCATTCTTACCTTCTTTGGTGAAGTTACACTCAGTCATATCATGATTTTGCTGTTCACAATAAAGTAGTAAGTGTTTGTGTGGTGGTCATGGTAGGCTAAATTGAGTATGTTCTGTGATGTGGTTTCTATGCCCCCAAATGAAGCTTCTCAATAAAATGTCTGACTTCTAGCAATTTGGGCTGTGATACTGTAAGAACTGTACGAAGTGCTGATGATTGAAATATTCGCATTTCATTTGCAAATGGAACTTTCCTTTCTTTACTGTTGTGCTTCTGTATTTGAAGCTAAGTATTTATTCATTTCTACACAGACACAGAATAGTCTTCTGTTTTTATAGTACACTCTTGGGAAGCCTCATATTTACAGAGGTGATAGAGAAGGACTAGGAAGCCACTACCCCCATCCCCTTCTGGCCGTGCTCGGAGAGGCTGCCAGGTCCTGGACGTCAACTACATCTGCAGGGCACAAATCTGTCTGATAACCAGTGGCATCCAAACACTGACAGTTTTAGTTCCCATTAGTATGTTTTGATACTTTTTTCCTTTACATTTACATCTGTTATTTCTGTACTATACATTAATAAACCTTATGTCAACATATTGCTTACATAACATTTAATGCTGGAGCAACACATTTCTTTCCCTTAGATCCTTGGCATCACCTCAACGATTTAAAAGCACCACTGAGGATAATTAATTAAAATGTACAACAATCTTTCCATGTACAAATGTAGAAAAGAAATAAAATTGACGTATCCTCAGTCATTCATATATCACACAACAGACTGAAAAGAGGAGTAGGTGGAAATTCTTCTCTATAAATGGCACAATTATTTTTGCTGCTTAGCTGGGCATGTATCTAACCCAGTAACTGGTATCATCCTTATACACATAGTATGAAATAAAACTATGTGAATAATCAAAGTCCTGCCCTTTTTACAAGCCTCCATTTAGGAAAACCATCTTCATGCTCTGCCATTTCCCCCACAACAATTCTGTAGTACGACTAAAACCTTTAAATCCACGTGGCCCATATATCTGTCTCATCAAGCAGAAGAATCAACAGGCAATGTCACTGTCTTCTTTTCTGTTTTACCATCTCATCTCTTGATTTTTAAAATAATCCCAGCTCTGTTCATAATCAAATACTGAAAATGCAGCTTTCCTACCCTTTTCCATCTTCATAGTTACGCATGTCCCAGCAATTCATGGTCTGAAGGTTCATTGTAAAATCTGAACAGAAGCACATCCCAAGTTTTAAAAAGACCACAGAAAAAGTATTCTTCGGAATACAGAGAGTCAAGGGTTAAGACTTGGGTTCTGAACCTGATAAATCATGGATTTGGTAGCAAGGTCATTCCACTGAATCTTCCTGTTCCCTGTTTTCAAGCAAAGGTTTGCTGTTCACTTTTTCTTGATGGCTCCCATTCACATCCCCATTGCTCTGGAGCTCCCCTGGTGGATGGTGTCCAATGGTGTAGTTATCAGGGTCAGTCACCAGCGTGAAAGATGATTCCTCTGTGTCAGGCACTTTGGATGCTTTCCTGAATGGTGGAGGGGAAGGTGGCGTAGTACTCATGGGCCCAGAAAAAGGCCGGTACACACCCGTCTCAGCAGTTTCTGGTATTGTAGAGCTGTTCAACAGGTGTCCATAAACCGTGTCTTCATCAATGACTGCATAAATATGAGACTCGTTGGCCTTCCTATTTTTTTGGAATAAACCCTGTCGTCCGGGTAACTGGGTGTTGACATTGGTATTATATACTCCCACCATTGGAGTTGGTGTTTCCTTTTTCCTGCTGGCAAAATATTGAAATAAAAGAACAAAAAAACATTTAAAATGTGCTGTTTCTGCATTTAAACACTCACTCACTTTCCCATTCAGGAATTGTTATTCCCATTGTTATCCTTCAAAGCCTGAAATGCAGATGCCTGCAATGTAGATGAACTGAATCAGGAAAGGATATCATTCAGTTTTATACCTTGATTTCTCCGCAAAGCTAGGGCCAACATAGAGACATTTTCTGAGTTGGCAGCTGTTGCCTCAGATGACGTCTAAAAGCTCTAATCCCCAATGCTCTGCTTCCATTTTTGTAGGCATCTAGACCTATTCATTATCTGGCACAGACCTATCCTGGGCACTGACTGACTGGTGATCTCTTCTCAGTAGAACTGCTGGATAGCTCAGTAGCTTAAGTCCCCTGGCAGCAGAGCCAGAGGTTGGGAGTTCGATTCCCCACTGTGCCTCCTTGACAGGGGGTGGATTCAATAATCCATTGGGTCCCTTCCAGCTCTGTAGTTCAAAGATTATTATCATCACTGCAATCTACCAGAGTTGTTTTAGCAAAGACATTTTCTCTTTGTATAAAATAGGTGCGTGATAAAAGTATCGCTTTTCAAATTTACTTGAACTCACATATGACTATGTTTAGCTATTTGCCAGAGGCAGAATAACCTCTCTGGTTTTGCAGTCCCAGAGAGACAAACCTCAAAAACCTATGGGTAAAATTCAGCCTAATGCACCTCCATACACTAACAGGTTAACCCCTCCCTACCATGACTGGCTTGGTGGGACATAAGTTTAACAGCATTATTAATAAGACAGCAGCAGACATGAAATACAGTACTCAGTTCAGGCAGAAGAGCAAACTGGGTAGAATAAACACCTACTACCTGCCTAAACTGCAACAGACTGAATTCTGCCAGTCCCCATCTGGAAAAGAATTCCATAACTCTTGAGAGCAACATGGAAAAGCTCTTATCCTGTGTGGCCATCAGTCTAGCATCCCTCAACTAATGCAACAAATTTCCCAACTTATCCGTGTGAAAAACAGCCACTTCTTGAGAAAAGTCAGTATGTCAGACAGTACACCAATTTAAGCATTTCCTCCAGATCACATAAATATGAAAAGGTCAAGATGTACAAATCTCAAAAGCCAGTGTGATTCAGACATCTAAATTTAAGTCCACCTCTTTCTGAAGCACGGCTGGCTATAGTCACAAACCGCAGAGTCACCAATGCTTCATCACAACGTGACTTTTGTAAGCTGGAGAGAATTGAGAAACTTGGGCTTGCCCACTAACGTTCACAACGTGCTATCTGAGGAAGGGAGACATCAAGCCAACTCTGCTGCTTTAGGGGGACATCTGGATGGCAATAAAGGGGAAGAGAAACCTGCACGAACAGAGGTCAGCAAGTCCGTGGTGGGACACTGGGGGAAAACCACCTAGTTCAGATGGGAACCTTTACTAAATTGTAAGTGTACCAATTTATTCTTCTGTAATGAGAAATCCAAACTTTTTTTAAAAGAAGAAAATACATAATTAAAACAGGGAAGTCATAACACTTTAGACAATGTATCCATACTCCTGAGTACAAATAAGTAAAATCTGAGAAAGAACCTGGCCTCAGAGAGTATCAGTCACACAGAGAAAAATGAAATAAAAGGAAATTCTATCAGAGTGTCTTCCTTCTCTAAAACCTGGTGCCAGCCTCCCATATCTATCCCACATGCAAGCACCCAATGAATTATATGCTTACAACGTCATCAACTCAGCTATGGTGGTGAAGGGCAGAGGGCCTTACAAGTATGCCAAGAGTGCTCCTGCAGTACGAGATACATCTAAACATACAGCCAATGAGTAATATGAGCACTGGAACAATGGTCAGGATCAACAGGGTACTTGTAACAATGGAAGAAGCCTCAACAGCCAATCTTGAAACAGATTATTTCATTTCCCAGAGTCCACAACAAGACATGCTCCTTTTCTCTCCTGCATGCAGTTCCTCTGTACCTTCAATATCTGCTTGTAATACCTGCTCTGCTCACAACCCAAAACCTGGTTCTGGAGGGTTTCTGAAACCAGCACGTATATATTGAGGGTATGCAAATATTATAAGCAAACACTGACGGTACAGAGATACTGCATGCAAGAAAAGAAAACATTTCTTCCTTGATTTGTGGTCTGTCATCCCACTGGATCCATGGCTTCTGAGTTCAGTTCTGTTTATTGTTGAGTTCCCTCCCTAGTATGATAAGCACTGGGTGCTGTCTCAGCATTGGCCACATATTAGGCAGGAGAAGGAAATGCGCTCCAGAAAGCTAGCTTACTAGCAGCTCACCTGCCTGGGCCAGCCAGTCAATTCAGAGAAAGCACAGATCTGCCTCTAGCAAAAACGGCATTATCTCACTATGTCTGGAAAAGCCTCCAGAATAAAGTCAACTTACTTCTTTCTCTTTGTGCAGAAAATGACAAGCACAATAGCCATTAACACTGCAATCCCACCAACCACTGCACCAATTATGATTGCCAGATCTGTGGAAAAAAGGCAGAGAGACATTCAATGAGATGCAATCAAAGAAGAGTCTAGTCTTGTGCTGAATCACAGTTGCTCTGATCTGCCTCCCTTTGATGCTTCCAAATATATATTGGGGAAAAGGGGGCATTCTGTGTGTGTGTGTGCCTGCAGAGGTACTCCTATTCATACACACAATCCAGTGCCTGGCAAATATGTTTCTTTTTAAAGACAGATAATGAGAATCACTCAAGTGAGAGTCTTTCATGCCATGTACTGAACACTTGAAATAGATGAAATTTTGAAATTTTAAATTTTGCAAAATTGTTAGAAATACATTCCATTCATGTGCACATACACACACAAATGGGGAAGGAGAGAAAGCAGACTATAACTCACAAGGATTTTAGGAAATAGTACTGATTTTATTGATCATTTTAAATACAATACCTGTTTAATTTTTTTAAGATATTTGTATACTCACTGTTTTAGCTTTTAAATATTGTCTCTTAAATGTTGTAAGCTGCCTTGGGTCTTTTTGGGGAGAAAGGGCGGGGTAAAATATTTTAAATTTAATTAAACAAACAAACAAATGCCTATCCTCTCAGTTCTTAATAGCTGGATGGTGGCATGAAAGGAGGAAAGAGAGTGCAAGACAGAGACACAAATTTAAAAAAACTGTCACAGATTCTACACCTGAAACATGCCTTCTATAAGATATTGCCTCTTTTTTCAAAGATGGTTAGACAGTCAGAGTAGATCCTCTGCAATCAGTATGACTTGAGTCAGTCATAACAAACAAGCTCTATTAATTCAATACTTTAAGTATGATTATTTCTGAATCCAGTCTCATGTTGGAATAACTCAACCAACAAGAATAACTCAACCTCACAGTGAGAATCTATGAGTCCACTTCAGAAGAAAGTCCCGCTGAGTTCGTGGGACTTACTCTTAGTTATGTGTGACTGGGATTGCAGTTTTATGGCACAGTCCTATGCATGTTTACTTAGAAAGAAGTCCCATTAATCTGTCTGTTTTTATTTCTGAGTGTACATGTTCCACTTCAGAAGAAAGTCCCGCTGAGTTCATGGGACTTACTCTTAGGTATGTGTGACTGGGATTGCAGTTTTATGGTGCAGTCCTATCTATGCCTTTTTACTTAGAAAGAAGTCCCATTAATCTGACTGTTTTTATTTCTGAGTGGACATGTGGACATGTACAGACATGCAGTAGAGGGAGTAAAAATAATATGATGGCTTCTGCCTTGCACACACAAGCATACAGAAATTACTGAAAATATGCTTAGTTTTCACAGGAAAATACTAAGCATTGTGAAAATACACAAGACAGGAGAGCCTATGTTAAAGTTATCATCACATCAACAGCTATCCCAAGCTGCTGCATGTAGCTCAATGGAGCAGTATATAAGCAGCATGCTTTGCTTTGCTTTGTATAGACATGCAGTAGAGGAAGTAAAAATAATATGATGGTTTCTGCCTTGCACACACAAACATACAGAAATTACTGAAAGTATGCTTAGTTTTCACAGAAAAATACTAAGCGTTGTGAAAATACACAAGACAGGAGAGCCTATGTTAAATTTATCATCACGTGTCACATCAATAGCTATCCCAAGCTCCTGCCTGTACCTCAATACAGTATATTAAATCCTCTTTGATATAAAGCAGACAGAGGGAAGCAGATTCCTTTCAGATTAGTAAGATGGAAGAGAAAAAAGATACAATAATATGGAAAGAAAGCTTTCCTTATAGGGACTTTGTTGGGTATAACAAGAAAAATGGGATATCTCACCTGTTTTTTTCTGAATAAAAGTCACCATGAGTTGCATACTCAGTAACTGCTTGGCAGAGGGCTTACAGTTAGTGATGTTTATCCAGAAATGGTGTCGCATATCCAGAGTCTTTGGCAGGATCTGATCATCCCGACACACCGTCTCCTCTGCATTTGGATTCTGTTCTTTAATATTGATATAAGCCCGGCCTCTCTCACAGGTCACACCCATCCGTTCACTTAAGAAGGCTAACTGTGCGACTTGTTTTGCTGGGACGCTGATGTTCCAATACACAGACATGAAGGGAGGCATGCCTTCCAGCCAGTTAGGTGTCTGCAAGTAAACTTTGGTTTTGGAGTCCGGAGTAAGACTGAAAATACATTCTTCTGCAAAGACAGAAAAAAAGCCACACGCATGAAATGGCACTTCTGTTCTTTATGTCAACACTAGAAGACAGAATAATTACAGTAATCAGCAATGTACACAGACCTTCGAATTAGTAGTGCATGAAAATTACTATATTAAAATTAGGGATGTGAGGAGCACTCCATAAATTCTTTGTTCTTGTCAATTTAGCTGCTTCAGACTGATTGAACCCAAAGAAGGAATTTCCAAATTCCATGAGATCCCTGATCCCCCATTAAGGGATCAAGAATGCTTTTTACCCTGTAGAGGTTGCTGCAATCTGTGCAAAATGTCTCCGTGACAGTCTGCAAAACTAGATTCCTTTCTTTTCCTTTGCTTTCCTAAAGCACACATCCACACAAAAAAGCTAGCAGAGAAGGACTGGCTAATTGTTTAAGAAGCCATATACAAGCCACCCAATGCTTCCAAGTAGAGATGGCGGTACTTGTATACAAATATCTCCATGCAGCTGGAATTAACAAGGGTCTACTCGCACGTCTGCCACCACTGCCAGCCCCGCTCATCCTTCCAATTGCTCCCAGAGCTCTGGAGCGCCATTCTCTTCCCAGTCAGCCAGTCACTCCTGGCAGAGGGAGGGAGGACGAGTCTCCCTGCAAGGCTGCCAAATGGCTAGCTGAGTGGCGCTCCAGAGCAATTGGAAGGAAGAGAGGGGCCGCCATCACCACTGGACACGTGAGTGGACAGTCTGGCCCCAGGGGCTGGACCCTCGTAAATTCCAGCTGTGCGGGATACGAATATCCCCACCTCTACTTCTGGCTTTTAAAAGTGCATGTGATATGACAGCACCAACTGCAGCTTTGCACAACTTACAGAAACTGGGAAAGTTTTGTAATTTATGAAAAATCATTTTTGTTAACCAGAAAACTCTCAAGAGCACAAGAAAAGACATTGCCCTTTCAATTGGTAAGGGGAAAAATGTGATTTTTCTTCCTTGCATGCAAGAAGGTGGCAAACAGGATCTGCATCTCTAATTAGAATTCTGTGGTTGTCATTACCCAGGAAACAATTTCTTACACTTGGCAACATCACATGCTATGAAAGATATTATGAGATCCTATATATGTGTGTGACTCATGCAGGAAACATCCCATCTCCTACATCTAGCAATATTCTTTCTAATAACAATAATAATCTTGGAAGGGACCCTATGGATTATCAAGGCCAGCCCCTGTCAAAAAGGCACAATGGAGAAACAAACTCCCACTCTCTGACTCTGCAGCCAGAGATCTAAACCACCAAGCTATCAACTACCAAACTGTAAGTCTCCTTTTGCATTAATCATCATTTTTTAAATATATAAACATTATTGTTGCATGGAATTCTTGAAGAAGCAGACAGGTAATGTCCAGAAAATTGAGAATTAAATTGGATGTAGATAAAATGTTAAGCCTGCAGACAAGGATATATTTGAATGTCTCTCTCTTTCTTGCCCATAGTTTATTGCCTTCTTACCACAAAGTGTTTTAGCTCTTGTGGCACTAAGGCATTACAGCTTTTAGTAGAACTTAGTTATAACATACCAAAAATGATAAATGGATTTCAACATCACAGTGTATAGGATCAGTTTGGCAGGAAGAATTTTTACCCAAACGTCAACTACCAAGGTGATGTAAAATATAAAACTTACCTTATTCTGTGAGTGCAGAGAATCAAGAGAACAAATAAACTCACCTGGCATAATGGGGATGAACAACAACTGAAGATCCTGTTTCTGAGATTCATTGAACCACCTTTTCCCATAGGTCTTAAGGGTTACAGTGAGATTGCCCTTCATCTGAATTTTTTCGATGGCTCCTCCAGGACAGAATAAACCAACACTTACGGCCTTTCCCGGGGTAGTGCTATTAACAGCATAACTGTAACTTCCCGTGCACATTTGATTCTGGTCTGGGATATGCTGCTTAAGTTTCAAGTTTGGAGACTTGATTTCTATGCTGACATCTTCTGGAGCCTGGATTTTCCATGTATATCTCTCAAGCAGGATTGGCAGCCGGGTCAGAGAAGAGGGCACAACCAGAGGGGAGAATTTGGGGCAGGATCTAAAATTCCAACAGGCTGTAATCAGAAAGCCACAAAATTATGGCTACAGATTCAAACCAAGATAAACAAACATAGATAGATAGATAGATAGATAGATAGATAGATAGATAGATAGATAGATAGATAGATAGATAGATAGATAGATAGATAGATAGATAGATAGATAGACAGACAGACAGACAGACAGACAGACAGACAGACAGACAGACAGACAGACAGACAGACAGACAGACAGACAGACAGACAAACAAACAAACAAATAAATAAATAAAATACAGATTCAAACCCAGATAAACTATCACCTACTCATCTCCTACATTTTCTGAAGCAGCGTGTTCCACACTGCAGACTACTTTTTAAGAATCAGGAAGGGTGAAATTGCATTTGGAGTTAGTGTTTCCTCTTCTTCATTGTGGCAATGTCAGTGATGTGTGTTTGGGGCATCAAGACTTATCCAGTATAAACAGAAAGATACAAGGAACAATGTTTTCAAAAGCACAAACTAAACAACATGAATTTAAGTCAAACCTAAACCTAAGCTAAAAGAACAGAAATATACAAAAGGTATATGTGTAATGGGAGAAGCAAAGGTTGAAATATTTCTAAGACAAGCATATAGAGTTACTCAAATAACCAACACATTTAAAGAAGAAGGCAGAATGTGACTGGACTGGGAAAGGTCAGAGAAGAAGGACTGAAGGCTGGTACAGGCAGGAGAAAGAGGGAGGAGCACAAGATACCGTAAATACGATGATCAAGCTTCAAGACAGCTTTCAAAAAGGCATCCTCTTTTTAATGGAGAACCTGCAAAAGAACACTTTTTGCCATCTCTCCCCCCCCCCCCCCCCGAGCACTAAGACTAAAAAGCGCTGCTGAGATTTTGCCTCATCTTGGAAGCTACAGCTGTCAATCAGCAAAGTCCAGTTCTCCTCCTGCTCCCCTCCTCATCCTCATGTTCTCCTTTTGTCATACTGTTCTTCAACATTTTGGAGACAGTGTGTCTGGTTTTTCTTTACTGCACATTTCAATAAATCAGTGGAATCCAATCCAATCCAATCCAGACCCAACTAAGACTGATCTGAACAGGACCTGATTCATATCAATCCAAATCAGTCTGGGATTCAGCCAAGATGGTTGTGTGGCCCTAGTTAATGCACTGCTGCTGAAAAATCTCCAATTGAGCTCTCATCAAAATCAGTGAGCTTAGTAACATTGAGGCAAGATTTCCAATCACATGGAGTCCTGTGAATGCATTCAGCTGCACATTACGGAAACTCTTAAGTTCTTCCCTGGCAAAAAAGAGAGGCCAGGAGTGGAGGGGCAGAGCTCAAATGTGGATCACTGGCTTCATCTCTATGGCTTCAACGTTCAACTTCTAAATCATGCCCAAAACATCAAAGTAAAATGAAGAGAAGGGGTGGGATTTTTGGATTTCTTGAACAACCTATTCTGTAATTCCCCGTTCTGAGAGTTGTACCTGATTTTCACACACATTATAGACACCTAAATGTGGCTCACCTGGGAGAAAATGCCTAAACTGGAGGGCTTTAAGGCATAACTAGCCCTGGTTCTACCAAAGTTTCCTCTTTCTACCCCAATGATAGCTGGGAGCTTTTTTTCTGAACAGAAAGCAAGGCAGAGCCAGACCTAGCTAAGCTTCAAAGACAGTTTAGGCCTTTTCTTGCAGGTAAGCACATTTAAGTATCTGTAAGGTGTATGAAAGTCAGGTAGAACTCCCACAATGGGAAATTATGGGATAGCTATTTAAAAATTCCATTTTATCTTTAGTTTGTCAGTATTCAAGAGCAAAGTTAGAGAAAGCTAACATTAACGAACAGCTTTTGGATATTCAAAATATTACTAATATATTCTCCTGTATAAGGATATTCTCCTTAGTACAGGATAATACATATTCCCATAATCTACCTCCCTTCATTGTGAGGTAAGTGAACATTGGTCGTTTTCCTCATACCTATAGAATGCTCAGCAATTATCCTTATATTCTCGAGATTCAGGCACAGAAAGGTGACTTTGTAGCTGAACCTTGGTTCTAAGGTCACATTGTGTTTGCAATCTTTATTCGAATTAACACAGATCAAGCATCTCCGTTCATGTGTCAAATGGGACTCGGGCTTTGAATAAATGGTAAGATTCATTCTCGACTCTTTCTTCAGGTCAATTATGAGGGTTACATCTGAAAATGAGGGGAAAAATAACTTAAAAGAAATGTTAATACTCCAATCTATCTGTTACGGCACTTATTTCACGATTTAGCAAGATCTATAGAAGGATGTTCATGGAAGTCTGCTGTGACAGAATTTGAAGGAGTACAAACTCTAAAGGCAAAGAAGGCAGAGAAAATTACTTCTTAACCCTATCTCTCTCACAAAAAACAGTAACTCCTAGGAAAACCTAATCTTACATAACAGATTTCTGTGGAAGTAACTGAACTCGGCAAATGATCTGCATTCTAACATTGCCAGGCCTGGGTGGGGGGAATGTACCAGGAGATCATCATGCTGAAGAGTGGGTGATTTGTTACAGCAGATCAGAGGAATCTTCTATAACCATCATCAATAGCTAGTTTTCCCAGAGGGCCACCATGAAAATGAGGGGTGGCAGGCCAATACCATAACTGCTACCCCTAACACAGCCTTCTTACAAGTTCTGTTGCCATGGATAACCTTTCAGTTAGCACTCCTCTTTTGGATCCAGGTGTGGAGGAGGGGCAAATTACTTGCCATTTCTAAGTGGACTGGATTTGGCTTAGGGACATCCAAACCGCTGACCCCTATTCTAGTTGCTTCAGGTTGGCAACACCTTTTTAAAATACTGTGTCTACAACTAAGACATATTAGTCCAGCCATAGCCTGGATTTACATTTTATAGAATGCAGAAAAATTGGTGATCATAGTCCAAAAAACTGCACATGCCTGGTAGTCTTAAGGTTTACCATGTAGATGTAACACACATGCACACATATTCTGGAATCACCTTTCCTGACAGATATGTGGGAGTACAACCTTTACCTTGAAAAAGTCTACTTTCCAAGGTGTTTCTCTGTATTTGGCTGGTCTACAAACAATACAAAAAGAAAAACCTAGAAAATGTGACTGAGGAAAAGCAACTGAGAAGGACAATGCCCACTTACTTCCTTCATTTTTTGGGTACTGAACAACAACATCAAAAAGCAGACTGAGGGCTCCTGGATTTCGGTCATCTTGGTCACAGCCCTGCAGAGAAAGGTTGAAACTACCAGGAATGTTGGAAGGTTGCTCCGCATCAAGTGACACCCCTTCAAGCTTATTGTTGGAGTATGATGGAGGTAAACTGTAGTCTAGCCTCTCAAATTTCCGTTCACATTTTGGTTTTGAGTAGTTACGGATGAAGATGTCAGCTCTTAAGTTCCCCGGAATGACAAACTGCCATGTCATGAGTTCATCTTCTGGCATCCCTAGTGGGTAGTTAGCAGACATCAGGGTCGCTGATGATTCATTTTGAAATGTGGCTTCAATAATGCATAACCCTGATTTTTTAAAAAGAGAAAAAAGAAGGGAAACAATATCAGGGACGGGAAACTTGTACACATATAACAGAGGGAAAAAAATAACATTATAAATTTGTTGAATTTAGAGTCTGGCTGCATAACAAGTTCTTCCCAACTGGCTTCTGCTCAGTATAAAGCAGACCAGCCATTAGAAGCCATTGTCCCAAAGTTTGAAAAGGTACTTTAACAAAACTAATGTGATATAGTTGTTATTTTTTTTTAAAAAAGGAATATATTTGTTACACTGCAAATAACATATTAGTATCAATTATTTATTACATTTGTTTAAGATAAATGCTCTCAAAATGACTCTTGGAGGTAACAAGCAAACATAATTCATTTCACAGGGAAATAACTACACTGTAATAGTGGTCTTAAAAAAAACATTTGTCGTCTAGTCATGTCCAACTCTTCGTGACCCCATGGACCAGAGCACGCCAGGCCCTCCTATCTTCCACTGCCTCCCGGAGTTGTGACAAATTCATGCTGGTTGTCTGCAAAGCTACCAACATGAATTTGTCACAACTACAGGAGGCAGTGGAAGATAGGAGGACCTGGCGTGCTCTGGTCCATGGAGTCACAAAGAGTCGGACACGACTAAACGACTAGATGACGAATGATTTTTTTAAAGACCACTATCACCCTCCTGGATTCTGAAAAGAGCAGAGATGGGTAATATGTGTCCTGCATGTGGCCTCTAGGGAAATATTTGTTTCCCCCAAATTCAGCCCAGAGACATCTATTAAAAAACTGAGGAAGGGGAGGAAATTAAAATGTACTACGTCCATTCCTGGAGGCATTTAGAACTGGGGCCTTTGGTAGTCCCTAAATATGAAGAGAAATGAAATGTGCATGTAAGGTTTGCTTATCTTTTTAAACGGACAAACTCAAACATTTCCAAGTTGTGTGTTCTGTGTCCCCAAGACCCCCGAGATCGCTTGTCACCGCTGTTAAAAAGAAACATGTTACAAGCCTTTAGCAAGTTGTTTATCATTCCTTTCTTCTGGGGGTGCCATGGGACTGTGCAGGTTGCCCAAGGCCACACAGGCTGGCTCTTCTCCCTGGAGGCACGCCGGGGAATCAAATTCTCTAGCTCCACAGCCAGATATCTAACTCACTGAGCTATCCAGCCAGCAAATCTATAGTATCTACCTTTTATTATGATATAATGGCCCTCCAATAAATGACAACGGAAGTGCATTAAAAACCTCCTACGCTTACTTTGTATAGATGATCTACTTTCAAGCTTAAAGCCAGAGGAATTGACTTTCGAATCCCAAGGAAGTTGTAAGGTCAAGCTAAGACCCCCTTGCACCTTCACCCGAGACACAGAACCATTTCTGCAGAAATTTCCAATGTTGACTCTGTTTGTATTGAGGCGGCTGCCAATGTTGTAAAGGATGTGATCTGCACAAGTCTCTCCAGGCATAATTTGTCTTAACCATGTAGAAAACTTCAGTTCAAGTCCAACTAGCCTGTCAGCTTTAACCTCCCAAACGAAAGTCCTATTAAGGTGTGGCAATCCAGAAGGATGAAGCAGGAGGTCTCCAAAGGGGCATGGCCCTGACATGCAATCTAGAAACATATAGATACGCATCACAAAAAAGAAGAGAAAAAGAAAAGGAAAGAAAGAAAAGAGAATCATCATTGTAAGTGTCCATTCAAATGATGAGGTTTGTTTTTTAACTCCTGCATTTATGTTAAAGCTACCTGAATTGCCTACATCTTCTAACCAAGAAATGTTGTAAAGGCATCCATGAGAACACCATGTGCACCACCATTCAGTTCTTGGGCTGCAAACTCAGTTCCATACAGCAGGTTCCCAGGCTTGGCATAGCCTATTACTTCCATTTTTATAGATGATTATTTCTGTTTTCACAGATCAGAGACAACAGAAAACAGTGTATCCAAACAAGGAATCTCTGTGAGTAGCATAATGACCCCATTTGTCTACTGCTCCACAAGACAGGAAGGTATGCAGGGTTTGAGACACAGAAGAATTCCATGGTATGCATGCACTGTCATTGGGGGAAATTCTGTGTCTGACAACTTTTTACCCCACCTGTTAATAGTCTACAAATGCCCCACCCCTTTATTTAAGACTGTGAGCTTTTATTTAAGAGAGGCCAAAAAGTCAAGTTTTCCTGCCTGGGCCCAACACCTGCAATTATTTCCAAATACTATGTAGGTAGAACTGTAAAACTGAATCAGCTTAATTAACTGAATAATCGATTAACAACTTCACTTAAAAAAAGGGACTAACTGGCACGGGTGAATGTTCTTTAAGGGCAAATTTATTGATGGGTTGAAATATTTGGGGTTTGCATAACTGCCAGAACCACAGTCCACTATCCTGTCCACCGCCCAGATGACAGTGAGCATGCCTCCAGTTTCCAGAAAAGGGTGGTCAGCTGGTTATCCCTGGAGCGGCACCGTGGGGCTGGCTGTTCAGATAACAGGGCTTGACTGTGTGGGCCCATGGTTGCAAAGCACTCCTTTACTCCCTACCTCCAAATCTGGAATGATCATTTAGGACACATTTAAGCTTACAGCATTTTGCCACAGTAAACAAAAATCCATGGAACTTTTAAAAGTTCACAAATCCTTTAAGAGTAGATGCTGTAAACTGGCTTACCGATGTTTTTTTCGATCACCAACACCCAATATTTCTCTGGCGTCGGGCAATCAAATACAAAATTAAAAGACTGTCCAGGATGTATTTTCTGTTCAGTGAAAAACGGTTTTCCTCCTGTACGCAGTGCACATGTTTTTAGATGCAGAACCTCAGGTTTTATCCTAACCGTTACGCTTTCATTGCGATGAAGGGAAATTTCAGCAGCACCTGAAACGGTTCAAAACAGACAAAAATCAGTATTGTGCAGTTCTGTCTAGAGCATCTAACAATATTAAACAGTTTCAAATAAAAATATAGCTTTGTTGGTTCATAGGAACTGATCATGTGAGAACTGTCGAGGTTAACTCCAATTGTAAAGCCAACTAAAGAGCAGGCCCATAGAAACGAATGGGACTAGTTTGTTGACGCCAAATTAAATGCCACCAATTTCAAAGGGTTTACTCTCGTTGGGACTTAAAGGGTTTTACCTTTAATCTTTGGAGTGCTACAGGACTCTTTGTCACTATGCAGTTGATAAAAGGAATACCACTGCAACCCTTTCCTGTACAAGGTAAGACATTTTCCTGCTCAATACTGTGAAGTTGGTTTTTTTAATTCAATCTTGAGCCTTGAAAAATAAAAATAGGACTTGGATACAAGTATTCACCCCTGCACAGAGGCACATGTTTGCACAGCATGTCTGTCTCTGTGTGCGAGAATGACTGATCCACTGCTACGGCTCTACCTCCATCTTATTACACTCTGTCTGGACAATCTAGAGCTTCTTTTCCAGGGCTCCAAAGGGCTGCTGCTGACAAGAAGAAATGCCTCCTTCCCATACATGGTTGGTAGGGCTTTTTTAGTGCTGGCTACCAGAAAGAAGAAAAAAGAACCTGTGATCCCCACTAATCTAAATGGGTGACACAATGGTTAAACTGCAGCATTGCAGTCAAGTCTCTGCTCACAATCTAACTTCAATCCTGACGGATTCAGGTAGTCGGCACAAGGTTGAATCAGCCTTCCATCTTTCTGAGGTTGGTAAAATGAGTAACCAGCTCCCTGCAGTGGGGGAGAGTGTCTCTTGCCTAATTATGTTGTAAACGGCTCAGAGTTTACAACATAATTCTAGCACTATGTGTCAATCAAAACAACCATCACCTGTTTTTGCAAAGCATCATCAACAATGAAGCACACAACAAGATCAGACCTTCACTGAGAGAAATGCTAATTTTTCAGTGTACAGTGGTGTCTCACTTTACGATTGCCCTGCATTATGACGAAACCGCATTACAACGATATTTATGTGATCACAATTGCGATCACAAAACGATGGTCTGAATGGGGTTTTTCGCTTTGCGATGATCGGTTCCCTGCTTTGGGAACCGATTCTTCGCAAAATGACAATTTTCCTCCAGCTGATCGGCAGTTTCAAAATGGCAGCCGGGTAAATAAAATGGCTCCCCGCTGTGTTTAGGGACGGATTCCTCACAAGACAGCCACCAAAAATGGCCGCCCTATGGAGGATCTTCACTGGATGGTGAGTGGAAGGGGTTTCAATGCGTTTCAATGGGCTTTTTATTTTCGCATTACGATGTTTTCGTTCTACAGCGATTTCGCTGGAACGAATTAACGTCGTAATGCGAGGCACCACTGTAATTCTCTTGGGATTACTAAACAGAAATCTTCCTACCTACAGGGCAGGCACCAATGAAAAAAGAACTGGAATAATTTGAAGGATGGAGAGATGAAGGGTGATAAACAGACAGGCAAATGAGTCAATGAGGGAGCTCCTAGGAAGGAACTTTATACAGTCAACCCTTGATTTACAAACTTAATCCGTTCCGGAAGGAAGTTTGCAAGTCAAAAAGTTTGTAAGTCGAACCAGCATTTCCCATAGGAATGCACTGAAAACAGCATGGCACAGAACCCAGCAACCATTCCTCCAGCACAAAAAGACTCTGGATCCACATTTTAAGCACAGGGACAGACACTTTAAAACAATGCAAGACCCATAGGAGCACAGAAAGATAACCCCCCCACAGCAAGGCATAGCAATCCAGCAACCATTCCTCCAGCACAAAAATCCTGCCTTCCTGAACAAACAGCACATGCAGTCAAAGAATATTTTAACTACAGGCACAGACATTTTAAAACACTGCAAGACCCCCCCCCACCTAGCCCTACCCCCCCCCCAAGCTGCAAAAAAACTCTGAACAGTACCTACAGTAAAGTAAAAACATACAGTGTACTCACCAAGAACAGGCAGTCACTCTGCTTTAAAAAAGAATGTCATAAAGCAAAAAGCAAAAATCCAAAAACCCAAAAATAGCCAAAAATAAAGATACAGTCCAGGCAGTGCCAGGCAGCCGAAGACTGTCTCCCAATCCACTCTCTTAATGCTGGGAAGAGCGAGGAAACGGACAGGCACCCTCTTCACTAGCCAACGGTTAACTGAAAGTTCAAATTTTGCGCTTTCCCCGTATCCCACGTGTTTTTTTCCCAGTTCGTAACTCAAATCTAAGTTCATAAGTCAAGTCAATATTTTCCTATGAGAGCGGTTCGTAAGTCAAAATGTTTGTAACTCAGGCCATTCGTAAGTCAAGGGTTGACTGTACTAGTAAGGCTAGCAATCAAGTCAAGTCCACTTAAACAAGACTAGAATCCATAGTATGCTATTCTACAAATAATGCCAATCACAACACAACTCATTTAAAGAACCGCTGCCACTACTAAATATATTCTGAGCTGTTTCAATACATACAGAACAAACTAGGGCCCCAAATGCCAAATACAGACTTCAAAAGAGGACCACTTGGCCCCTCTCAGTTGTCAGTGAAGAGAAGACAACTGGAGGAACAGCTTGTACCTCCTCAATAGGTTTGTGCCCGAAATCTGACGCCTCTTAAGAATTACATAATTTAGGAGAGCGGTTCTTCCCAAGTATTGCTGGGGACCTTGGCCAACCTCTTAAAAGGCTGCTTGTTGATGTACACATCAAAACACGTAAGCTCGTATTTCCTCCCTCCCCCCTCCTCCCCACCGACTCCCACTAGCATTCATGTCAAAATCAGCACCAAAAAGGTCCTTAGGCCAGGCCACAAATAAAGTTCACTTTGAACAGTACACATTTAGGGGGAAATTACCAAGAGTGCAGCAAAACTATAATAAAACCTATGAGATTATCAATCGGCTTGATCTACCCTGGTCAAATAACCCACAGTTTGTTCAACAAAAAATGCTTTTGCTCAGGAAGGGACAACTTCCAGAGGACCGGCGGCCATTCCCACAGAGCACTGGAGTTTGGAGAACAGCAGCTGCCTCCCTGCTCCTATTTCCTCAAATATTTCAATTTTAAAAACTAAAATAGTTTGCTTAGCTTCTGGGGACCCCCCTCCCCAAATTGGTTTGGGGTGTGGACCTCCCTGCCCCCCCCCAATGGGGAAATTCCTACCATTTCCACAGAGGGCACAAGTGGATTTGAGCAGGGATGGAGTGTGAAGCCTTTTAATTTAAAACAATGGGAAGTAAGGGGTCTGGCACCACGTTCCTCATTACTAGCATTTGAGCTCTTTGGTGTCCATGTGCAGCCAATATACACTTTGTTGTTGTTATATAGTCCTTTAGTCGTGTCCGACTCTTCATGACCCCATGGACCAGAGCACGCCATGCCCTCCTGTCTTCCGCTGCCTCCCAGAGTTTGGTCAAATTCATGTTGTAGCTTCGGTGACACTGTCCAAACATCTCATCCTCTGCTGTCCCCTTCTCCTCTTGCCTTCACACTTTCCCAACATCAGGGTCTTTTCCAGGGAATCTTCTAATCAGATGGCTGAAGTATTGGAACCTCAGCTTCAGGATCTGTCCTTCCAGTGAGTACTCACGGTTTATTTCCTTCAAAGTGGATAGGTTTGATCTCCTTGCAGTCCAGGGGACTCTCAAGAGCCTCCTCCAGCACCACAATTCAAAAGCATTATTTCTTTGGTGGTTAGCCTTCTTTATCATCCAGCTCTCACTTTCATACATCACTACAGGAAAAACCATAGCTTTGACTATTCGGACTTTTGTTCGCAAAGTGATGTCTCTGCTTTTAAAGATGCTGTTGAGGTATGTCATTGCTTTCCTTCCCAGAAGCAGGCATCTTTTAATTTTGTGGCTGCTGTCACCAGGAGGTGATGGGACCAGTGGCCATGATCTTAGTTTTTCTGATGTTGAGCTTCAGACCATTTTTTGCACTCTTCTCTTTCACCCTCATTAAGAGGTTCTTTAAATCCTCCTCACTTTCTGCCATCAGAGTGGAATCATCTGCATATCGGAGGTTGTTCCAGTCCAGCCTTTTGCATGATGTATTCTGCATATAAGTTAAAAAAGCCGGGGGACAATATAAAGCCTTGTCGTACTCCTCTCCCAATTTTGAACCAATCAGTTGTTCCATATCCAGTTCTAACTGTTGCTTCCTGTCCCACATACAGTGGACCCTCGACTTACAGACATTTCGAGTTACAGACTTCTCTGGCTGCAAAATTTAGATTCGACTTGCAGCCGGAGAATCGACCTACAGACCAGAAAAAAACAAAATAGAACAAAAATAGCCAGTTACAGGTTAATCAGTTTTCAATGCATTGTAGGTCAATGGAGACTCGACCTACAGACTTTTCAACCTGCAGCTACCAATCCAATATGGATTAATACTGTAAGTAGAGGCTCCACTGTACAGATTTCTCAGGAGACAGATAAGGTGGCCAGGCACTCCCATTTGTTTAAGAACTTGCCATAGTTTGTTGTGGTCCACATAGTCAAAAGCTTTTGCATAGTCAATGAACCAGAAGTAGATGTTTTTCTAGAACTTTCTGGCTTTCTCCATAATCCAGCGCATGTTACCAATTTGGTCTCTAGTGCCTCTGCCCCTCTGAAATCCAGCTTGTACTTCTAGGAGTTCTCAGTCCACATACTGCTGAAGCCTGCCTGGGAGGATTTTGAGCATAACCTTGCTAGGGTGTGAACTGAGTGCAATTCTACACTAGCTGGCGCATTCTTTGGCACTGCCTTTCTTTGGGATTGGGATGTAGACTGATTTTTCCAATCCTCTGGCCACTGCTGAGTTTTCCAAACTTGCTGCCATATTGAGTGTACCACTTTAATAGCGTCATCTTTTAAGATTTTAAATAGTTCCGTTGGAATGCCATCACCTCCACTGGACTTTCTGTTACCCATGCTTTCTAAGGTCCACTTGC